CACACATAAGGCACATATATGCACATAGGCCAAATAAAGTCAAAAATAAAGGGTAAGGTGTACCTCTCTTGAGTCGGGGCTCTAATGGAGTGAAATTACTTATTTACCCTCCAAAAACAAAGAAAAGGTCAAGGCACCAATTTAATTTGAGAAAATTAAAGAAAATATGCAAACACAAACTCACTTGATCATAAAGCCCTTAAAAATCATGAATTAAATGCAATCTAAACAAAGCATGGTAGTTAATTGAAGCAAACAAGCAACGAAAAGTTGTAAAATTAAAGCTGCCAAGGGCCAAATTGAGGAATTAATTCAATTGGTTGGGTCATAGTGGAACAAGGGGAGACCTGGGGGGCCAAAGTGCAATTTTTTGAAAGTTTTTCATCCAAGTTCATGCAAGACAACGAAGAGAATGCTTCTGCAATTTCCAGCTAAACATCTCTGCTGCAATTCACATTTGCAAACTTTCCGCAACTTTCTAACAAGATTCGAACTTAAAACAACAAGACCATCTTCTAATCCTCTCACTTTGCAATATAAACTTCAGATTCAAACACAAAAAGTCGGACAAAAGAGCATGCAAACATTTACATAACCTTCTGCAACTTTTCTTTGCTCACTATGGTAGCTTATCAAATTACATGTTCAAACCGCAAGTTAGCTATTTCAGTCAAACCCAACTTGAATCAAACAACAAAATTTCCTATGTATCCTTCTAGCATGAACTGCCCAGCAACTAACATCAAGAGAGTGAATTAAACTACCCCATTTCAGCCCCCCAAGACAAGAATGTGCAAAGCAGGGGAGGACACAAGCAGCGGGAAAGAACTGTCTGCAACTTCTAATGCCTTGAGAATTCTCGCAAATTTTTAGCTATGTTATCACTCTGATTTGTTGCACAATCAATACAAGAACATCCATACAACCATGGCATGCCATTTTAATAAGAAACAAACCTTCTAGCAAGAACATCAACTACCTCGAATCTGGTAAACAAAATTTCTAGGACAAAACATGCAAATCAGAATCGAAGCTTTCTTCTTCTGACTCAAAACCTTCGTTTGAACATGTCACCAAATAACTAATGGGCATAACAAAAATCACAGATTCTCGGCTCAATTGACGCTATAACCAGCCCCCAAATTGTCAGAAAACCTGAGAAATTCAGTCCAATCGACCCACAAAACACGCATATTCAAAATCATGAACAAATAACAGAAAATTCGCAACAAAACATAGTCACGGCAGCCTGTTTCGAGAGCTTGTTCAGAACTGAAATTTTAAAGAAATAATGGACAACTTACAGTGCTCCTGCTTGAGCAGCGGAGGTTCCGGCTAGATGGTCTCGGGGGTGGCAGCAAGGAGGAAGGCGGTGGCGATGCTGCTACTGCTACCATTTCTTGCTTAGTCTTTTGTTATCTCCAACCCGTCAATCCCAGGATTTCCTCTGCTCTTCTCGTTTACTCACCAGGAACCCTCTTGCTCAGCCCACTCCCCTCTCGGCTCTCTCTGCTGCCCGAAAAACCCCCAACTCTCTGTTTTCTCTCTTCTGGTTTTTCCTCCGCTGCCTTGTCCTTAGTTTTTTTCTCTCTTGCCGTCATCCCTTACTTTCTTTTGCTCCTATCCGCTGCTCCTCCATTCATCCCTCAGACTCCCTGCTACCCAGATTCTCCCCTACTCTGCCAAAGCCTTCTACCAGGTTTTCCAAGGTTCCCTGAATCGCAAAATGAGTCGTGGGATGACAAGAAAAGGCTCGGCTGGTTCTGCCAGTTCTTCGAAGGACCACCAGTGAAGGATGGTGATGATGATCCAGTCCCCTTTGTACAACCTTCTTTGCGATCTCCTTTCTCCTACTCAGGCCTTGTCCAGATCTTTCACTGCTTCCTTGCTGAAGTTTTCCTTCTGCTCTCTGCAAAAACTCTCCCTTTCTATCCCAAACCCTCGGCTCTCTTGGTTTCTCTCAAACTCCGCCGCCCATTTTTTTTCCAGAAACCCCCGTAGCCTTCTCTTTTTTCACTACCCACAGCCGCCAACGAGCCTCTCTCTCTCTCTTTCTTGTAGCCTCCACCTTCTCTCTGTCATTTTTACCTCACCCGAAGCTCTCCCTCTCCTCTGGTTTTCTCTCTTTCACTCTCCCTCAGCCTTTCTTTCACTCAGCCGCCAACAGGTTCCCCCTTACTCTCACTCAGCCGTCATCAGCCCCTTTTCCTTTCTTCCTCTCCAGCTCTCAGACCTTTTTTGCTTATCCGTCAGCCAAATCCTCTCCCGCCGTCCCTTTCTCTAGCCTTTCTTGTTTTCTCTCTACCCAGCAGCCATCAGCCGTAGCTATCTCCTCTCCATTCCTCTCCCAGTTTTTCTTTTCCTTTGCTGCTTTTCTAAAACCTAGCCGTCACTCCCCAGGTTTTTCAGGTTTCCCTTTCAGTCTCTTTTTCTTTTGGCTGCCACTCCCTCAGCCACCGCCCACATATCCCTTTTTTTCACTCCTTAGCCCCCGTTGCCTTTTTCTTTTCCCGTGGCTCTTTTTCTTCATTTCCAAAAACAAATCCTATCCTACAAGTGTCCAGATCTCTCCCCTAAGTGATGTGTTGTCGAAATATAAAAGGGACACTTGTCCCGCATGCAAAGCCTACACATATTCACATATTTTCTTTTCCTTTTTTTTCATTTTTCATTTTCATTTTTCCCAAAATCAATTTGAATAAATAAACCAAATTATAAACAAATTAAAAACAAACTAAAACTTTCAAAAATATCAATTACATTTTTCCTCTTCTTCAAATTGAAACTCAAAAATGATTAAAACAATTTTTTGTGGGCATTTTCTTTTTCTGAAAAATAAAAAAAATAAAGCTAAATAAATAATAAAATAATAAAGAAATAATAAAATAAAATAAAATAAAATAGCTGATATTATCAATAAAAGTAAAAATGAAATAAATTAAAAATTTGGTGTCTACATCATTGTTTATATGTTATTTGCGTATGCTGTAGGCCATGTGTACTTTATCACATTGGCTGAACAAGGCCTTTTCCCCTTCGTTATCACCTATTCGAGCCAGAAGCGGACTCAGTCGGATAGGTTGATAACCCTGGGCACTGTATTTTGGTATACTCGAGTATTACCACTGGAGGGATAAGGTGATGGCCAGTCAACCGAAGGAGTTACCGATGGGAGTTATAAGGACGGGAAGTGGACCGAGTACTGTATCCTTTTGTGTTTGCTTTACTATTAATACTGTTATTGCTCTCCTAGTTGACATTTCTCGGATAAGACTCCTCATGAGCATTAATCTCTGAGACGAAGCAATCCTTGTAATGTTCTTCTAGTCGGACGAGCCACTATTTGTTTGACTAAAATTCATGAAAATATATTTATGTGCTCATGCATTCCAAATGTACGTTAGTGGTTTTTAAATGATTTATAAGTTGTACTCATAATAAGTTGCCAACAAAAGTATTACTTTTACATGTGTTTCCAAAGTAACACTTACGCACTGGTTTATAAATACTTGATTTTCCCTTTTGAAACCTCATTGAGCTTTAGCTCACCCCCAAAAACATTTTAGTTCTATGCAGGGCTCAAGAAGGATAGTTATTCAAGCACAAGGATTTGGAGTACCGCAGATTATCCTTTATCTGGGTTGTGATTGATTTTCTTTGTGGAATGTAATGATTATTTTGAAATATTTGTGAAACTTTATGGTATGATGTATTTGTGGTTGAAGTGAATGTAAATCTCATGATATTTTGGGGATTATACTTTTGTAAGAATGATTTGAATTGCGAACATAAGGATTGTACTTAAGTTATTAGTATGAAAATTTAGGTGAAGTATTGGACTTGTACTTTGGTATGTTGGACTGGTGGATATATTATACTCCGTTTGAGCTTTTAAGAACCATCGATTATATTCATGCTTGAGTTTTGTAGTGAGTCCCGGTGAGAGTTGGGCAGGCGGCCCGCCAAACCCTTTGGTTCGCCTTAGGGGGAAGTGGGGTCGTCACAGGTGGTATCAGAGCTTAGGCTCTAGATATTTGTAGTGTATCCTAGGCTTTAAGTATAGGATGCCGGACTGTGGAGTTTGATTGTCTAGCAAGTGGAATGTGATCTTAGTACTGGATGATTGATTGAGTAATATTGAAGTGTTTGTTTTTAGGTGGGTTTGCACATTAGGGTTTCTTATATTGTAGAAAACTGAAGAGAATTGTGTGAGCTTGATTTGACAAGTGATAGTTGAGTTTCTTGAACATTGGTACCAGTGATATCTATATGATCGAATTTGACTAGGTAAATCGTAAGTTTCGAGGTATCTTCTAGGCTTGTAATCTTCGTAAGTATATGTATAAAACTGAATGTGAATCTTGGATCGATTGCTTGAGTGAGACCTCTTGCAAAAATTTTCTTTGAGGAATAGTGGGGATTGAGTTGATTTGCATCTGGAGATGGCCAGTCCTAGTGCGAATTGACTTGGTTTCCACTTGACGCTTAAGTGAGCCAATTGTACATATTCTCTGAGTTTGAACATGGGACTTGAGGCTTTAACTAGAAATCCCAAGGTTGGTTATTCTTGGAGATGAATGTACTTTAGTTATTGGTTGGCTTGCTAAAGATTTTTAAACTTTGGATGAATGACCTTTGATTTCAACTTGTATTATGACCTGATTAGCTCTAATTTTGTAATGGCATACAACTTAATTGAGACTAGTTTAAATTCTATGTTAACCGTGAATGTGTTATTTGTGAAATTGTTATCTGTGGATATAGTTTTATTGCTCATTTTGAAAATTGTTAAATACACGTGTGCATAGATAATTTTGGTTTAGTGAGCCATTTACACATACATGTATAGATTAGTTGTGAGAATGGAAGCTGGGAGACGACGACGTGGGCGTCAACCCAGATGACCTCAAAATCAAGGAGGAGATAACGAATCTACCGCCGACCGAAACGTTGAACCTAGGGTTGGGGTAGAAAACCAAATTGGGTTAGTTTTGATTCTCATGACAGACATACTAGAGCGATTGGTACCCCAACAAGGCCAGGGAATTGGACAACTGAACCAACTTGGAAACCAAGAAATAGGGGAGGATAGGGCTTTAGAGAGATTTCAAAAGTTTTTTCCTCCTAAATTTTCTGGGGGTCCTGACCCCGATATAGCTGAGAATTGGTTGGAGAATATAAGGAATATATTTGATGCACTAGATTATTCCGAGGAGAGAGAAGTAAACTTTGCTGTGTTCCAACTTGAAGGACCGGCTCGAGCATGGTGGAATGTTATAAGAAATAAGTGGGAAAGGGAACAAACTCCGAGAACTTGGATGAATTTTGTCCTAGAATTTAATGAAGAATTCCTTCCACCACTAGTCCAAGAAAAAAGAGAGGATGATTTTATAAAACTTCGCCAAGGAACTTCAAGTGTGGCAGAATATGAAACTGAGTTCACGAAGCTGTCTAGGTTTGCCCCGGAATTGGTAATTACAGAGCGAAAGAGAATAAGGCGGTTTATTCAGGGCCTCAATCTAGAAATTCAAGATGGCCTCGCAGCGGCCCAAATCGAAACGTTTAGTGATGCCCTTGAGAAAGCCCAAAGGGTTCAGATTTCAAAAGTCAAATTGAGAGTTTTTCAAGTACGGAAAAGAGATGCACCTAGTAGTAGTCACCCTGAGGCATCTAGAAACACTGTACCACCACCGAAAGTTGGAAAATGAGCTGGTGGGATGAGACTACCACTTCCATCTTCTTCCCAGATGCAGCAATTAGAAGGAACTCCGTCACAAGGAACTCAGATTAAAAGGGGTCAATCAAGGATGACGCCACAGGGAAGTCAAGCCATGAATTTTCAACCAATCTGTGGATACTGTGGAAAAGGAAACCACACCGAAAATAACTGCTGTGTGAAGGAGCGAAAGTGTTTCCGTTGTGGGAGTGCAGACCATCAGGTTAGCAACTGCCCAAGAAAGCAACCACGAGAGAATAATCATCGACAAGGATATGGAACTACTTCTGAACGAACTACTGAAGGAGGGAACCGACCACAAGTGCCAACTGGAACATATGCCTCTATTGGTCGACAGACTCTGGGGTCGACCGAGGTAGTTGAAGGTATGAATTTCGAGGACGAAATTCTCTTAAGGGGGAGAGGATGTGAGGACTCATATTTTAATTATTGCAAAATATTCTTAAATTGGTCATTTAAAAGTATTTTTGCATGTGAATTACTCAAGTTTTCCCAAATTGCATGAATTTCTCGAAAATGAGTCTAAACAATTGATTCTTTAAACAATTATTATTTTAATGACCAAATTTATTCGAGTTGAATTATTTATGGTGCTTTTGATTGTTATATATACTTGTCGCATTTGCATCTTTGACTTTTAATAAATTTTATTATTGTTGGTTCTTAGATAAGTATGTAAAAATAAGTTTAAAGTTGCAAATAAATTAATTGTGCAAAATATTGGGTTATTTGAATTTTTGCCAAGTTAAGTTAATATTTCTTGACGTAAAGTGTGTTATTGCTTTAATATTAATTCTTTGAAGTTCAGTAGCTAATTTTAAGTGTTAATAATGTTAAGTGTTAACGGGAACTTTAGCATTAAGACGAAATCATTTTTAGATTAGGACCTTTATAATTATTTTTAGGATGATGAAGTCTCAATAATTGAATTTTCGCAAGATTAGTGCTCCAGTAGGCTATCGAATTTCATCTGGGATAAATTTTGGAATTAGTTTAGGATTGAGGGCTTAAGTGGAAATTCGGATGAAATGTGAATAGACCAAATTGGCCCTTCCCCAATTCAAATTCACCATGCAGCCATGGAAAAAAATTCTTGAACAAACTTAGCTTCAAACACTTCCAATTTCTGCCGGTTCCAATTCCCACTTTTCATTCCAGCACCTTCCATTTCTATTGCCGACCCAACCCCACTCACAATACCTCAATATATACATTCCACTAACCACACACTTCACTCTATACCGTTTCCAATTCACCACAATATCACACTTCCATTTTCTTTTCTGCCGTGAGTTGCGAGTGGAGCGCAAGAGAGAGCCGAGCCTTCATTCCTTTTCCTTTCTGTCCGTAAGCTAAAAAAAGAGAGAGAGAGAGACCTGTTGTTATCATTTCTTCCATCCGTGAGCCGGTGAAGTCTGAGAATCAAACTTCCTCCATTCTAGTCGCAAGCTTGAGCAAGGGAGAGGAAAAGTTGCGGACTGCAATTTCTGGACAGCCGAGGGAAGGGAAATATCTTTGCAGCTAGCCGGGGGTATTGAGCTCCAAACTGAGGTAATTTCTAGACCTAGACTAGATGTTTATAGGTTGATGAAGTTGTTAAAGGGCATGCATGTGAGGATGGTGCGGTTGGATGATGAACTAAGTTACAAGAAAATCTGACTTTGAAGAAATTGGAACAGTCCGAGAGCTTGAGCTGGAAATTTCAGCTTTAACTTGCTAATTGGTGATGATCTGAGCTTAGTTTTGGACCCAATCTGATAGATAGCTCTTTATTTGGTATTGCATGTGAACTTTATGGCCAGGAATTCGGTGCCATGGCTGGAATTTTTTTTTATTAGAAGTTGTTGGACTGCTAAACCAATTTTTCCAGCTTAGCCGATGGAGTTGTTTTGGGAGTTGTATGGGTAATTTAGTATAAAATTTGCTGAAAAGTGTTTGTTTCTCACTCGGCTATGTGTTTAGCTAACTAAATACTGGATGATTAAGCCCTGCATGAGATTTATTAGCAGTGTGTAAACCAGAAATTTGAAGGAAAACAAAATCTGGATGCATGCATGTCAACCGAGTGGGTTGGAATGAAATTTCTGGTTGGATGATGATTTTTTTATGTTGTCCGCACTTGGATTGGATCAAAGCTGATTGATAGTTAATTTTTTTGATCATGCATGAACCTGAGATGAGTCGTGTTTAATAAAAAAAAAAAGAGAAAGAAAAGAAAGCTGAATTGTGGCCGAAAGAAGAGGTTGAGCCTTTAATTAGTTTTCCTTTGAATTTTAACTAAGATTTTCATATGGAATATTTAAGATTTACTTGTAGCTTGCTAATCACCTTTTGTATGTTGTTAAGTAAAAATTGAAGAAAAATCTGAATTTTAGAATTATTTGGGGGTCAAGTTGGCTGTGGTTTTTCTTCTTGTTTTGGATTGAAATCCTGGTTGAATTGTGATTGAAAGTAATTGTTTGATGTCAAGAGCTAATGATTGATGAAGCTCTTGGCCATTTGAGTAAATTTTTGCAAGAGTTTAATTTTGGTGAATTTGTTCAAGTGGTTGGCTGAAATGTATTTGGAAGGTCCATGGTTTGTGATTTGGGATTGTTTCAATAACTTGAACTTCCTTTGTTGAATTTTGTCTGGAACTGAATCTGTTGAGACCTAGGGCTAATGATTGATGAAGCCTAGTGAAATTTATATTCGAATTGTGTTTCAGCTATTATGGCAATTTGGAAAACAATGTGCCAATGAATTGGAATCGTGAAGTCCGTTTTAGTCTTTTGAATTCAAGTAACTTTAAATCAAGCTTTGTGGAATTATTTTATCTTACTATCAAGTTATAGAGATTGAGAATAGCGCGTTAATATTAAAATTTAAATGACAGGACTTTTAAAACCTTGCTAACTAGTTAATTCTTTTCTTTGCTTAAACTAGTTTTAGTACTTTTAGGAAATAATCGTATTCACTTCTAAATTTTAAGTTTTTCGTAAAATTATTCCTGGTTAGTTGTTTTGAGGAAAAATTGTTAAAAACATGAGATTTTAATAATTTTAAAAAAAAGAAAAGGCTTAGAAAACTTGTTCGGCAAGAAAACTTGTTTGAATTAAATTGATTTTAGTTACCCTCTAGAAAGAAAAGTATCTTTAAAGAGATCATACGAAATATTTTATTCGCCTTAATCGAGCATCTAGGTAATTTGTGATTGTGATTAATCTCAGGTGATTCAGAGGACACCGAGAAGCTCTTTTAATTTCCTGCTTTTGCTCTTGCTTTGCTCCGGATTACGGTGAGGGATTCCAAACTGTTTTGCACAAAATTTTCTCGAACTTTTATAACCACTGTTTGTATAATTGCTTATATATATATACGTGATGTGACTTGATGAGTGCTTCTTTCATGCCTAAGTGGTCAAATACTTGATGAATCTTGTTCACTTGAATGAAAAGTACTTATTTCTAGGCGAGTGTGTACTTTATCGCACTCGACCTAACTGTTGCTGTATCGCTTAACTGTTCAATATTTCATTGTTTATATGTTATTTGCGTATGCTGTAGGCCATGTGTACTTTATCACATTGGCTGAACAAGGCCTTTTCCCTTTCGTTATCACCTATTTGAGCCAGAAGCGGACTCGGTCGGATAGGTTGATAACCCTAGGCACTGTATTTTGGTATACTCGAGTATTACCACTGGAGGGATAAGGTGATGGCCAGTCAACCGAAGGAGTTACCGATGGGAGTTATAAGGACGGGAAGTGGACCGAGTACTGTATCCTTTTGTGTTTGCTTTACTATTAATACTGTTATTGCTCTCCTAGTTGACATTTCTCGGGTAAGACTCCTCATGAGCATTAATCTCTGAGACGAAGCAATCCTTGTAATGTTCTTCTAGTCGGACGAGCCACTATTTGTTTGACTAAAATTCATGAAAATATATTTATGTGGTCATGCATTCCAAATGTACGTTAGTGGTTTTTAAATGATTTATGAGTTGTACTCATAATAAAGTTGCCAACAAAAGTATTACTTCTACATGTGTTTCCAAAGTAACACTTACGCACTGGTTTAAAAATACTTGATTTTCCCTTTTGAAACCTCATTGAGTTTTAGCTCACCCCCAACAATATTTTAGTTCTATGCAAGGCTCGAGAAGGATAGTTACTCAAGCACAAGGATTTGAAGTACCGCGGATTATCCTTTATCTGGGTTGTGATTGATTTTCTTTGTGGAATGTAATGATTATTTTGAAAGATTTGTGAAACTTTATGGTATGATGTACTTGTGATTGAAGTGAATGTAAATCTCATGATATTTTGGGGATTATACTTTTGTAAGAATGATTTGAATTGCGAACATAAGGATTGTACTTAAATTATTAGTATGAAAATTTAGATGAAGTATTGGACTTGTACTTTGGTATGTTGGACTGGTGGATATATTATACTCCGTTTGAGCTTTTAAGAACCATCGATTATATTCATGCTTGAGTTTTGTAGTGAGTCCCGGCGAGAGTTGGGCAGGCGGCCCGCCAAACCCTTTGGTTCGCCTTAGGGGGAAGTGGGGTCGTCACACATTTGCAACTTCCTTGTTGCATTCACGGACTGCATGACCCAAACGCCAACAAGTAGTACAAATTTTCTATCACGATCGTCTGCCAAAAGCCGAGAAATTTCCAATTTTGTGATGAATTTTAAAAAAATTCTACAAAATGGGTGATTTTGGCGCGGGAATCCGTCGGGGGGTCTTCGCATTCGTGAAATGCGAGCTCAATAGAGCCCAGAAAGTATAAGTAAAATTTTTGTGCATATTTTTTTTCGGAGGCAGAGATTTTTTTGTATTAAAACAAAATGTTTAAAGATCTCGCATTAGCGTTCGCATTCCTTAAAATTTTTTTTTCGGAGGTCAATAGAGCTCGCATTCGCGGAATGCGAGCTCAATAGAGCTCCCACTCCCACACTAAGTATAATTTAATTTTTTTGCCT